AGTCTTTCGTGACCGCCTCGAGGGCCAGGTCAGGTCGGATGTCGAGATCCAGAAACTTACACGCATCCAGGGCAATCAAGACCGCATCAATGCGGTGAATGATGGCAGGAAATGTAAAGGCCATGACAACAGTCTCTATGGGGAGCTGCAAACGTTAGCCCTGCAAGATATCGTTCGAGATATACCCAACTTACAGTTGACACCCTCAGGGGCTCTAAGATAATGTAGCAGATCTTCGACTCCTCAGTGGTGACCTCCACAAAGTCGTCAAGAAGGTTTCGTCTTAGTGATACCACTTCTGCCTCAACGACAGGCTGGGTATCTCTCCACGTCCTTTTCGCTCGAGATTTCATCCACATACTCACGCTGTACTCCTTGATGTTCTTCTCCACCGCCGGATCACGCCAGGGCCTGTGGCCAGGATCAGGCGCGCCCTCTGGAACTGGGTCCGTTGGCTTCATGTCCTTACGAACTCCTCGTAGGTAAAACTTGCGAGACCCTGCATAAGGATCTATGACCAGTTTATCCTGGAAGAATTCTTCTGCGGCATTATCGTCCCATTCTAGATATTCTCTGTCTTTCGTCTCCCGAAGATGGACCCAGTCAATCAAGGTCGCAGCGTCTGCTCGCGCTAGGTCTTCAGAATGGTGACGCCGGGTTGGGGCGAGGAAGTAAGGAATATTTTGAATCGGTGCCTCGTACTCCTTACTGAACATATCTTTGAAGATGCGGAAGGTAAAAGACTTCAAGAGCTCTGAATCGGTTTCCGAGACTTGGATGGGCGCCGGAAGGGCGACGACGAAAGCCTCCGACTGCTGATCGTTTCCAAAGAACAGAGGTATGGCCGGAAGATCGGGTAGCTTTTCTCTGGTGAGGAGTAGCAGCGGCTTTGAGTTTCTTCCCACAGCATCAGGTGTTGCGAGAACCAGTATATTGACGTAGAGGTGGCTGAAGGGACCAAGGCGAAACCAGATGTCTGGCTTGGTTCTCATTTTGTACTCGGCCCTCTTATTTGAACTGACCGCGAGACGAGCATTTCGCATAGCAGGAAGCTTCTTGGTGAAGACTGGTTGTAGGTTGTGATCGATATATTTCTTCTTGATCAGTTCCTTGCACATCTCGAATGCGGCAGAACAGCGGGCAGCCTGCTTATTACTTTGTGGGAATCCTGCAACATGCATGATGGGAGACCTTTCCGGCAATTGGACCTCTGCAACGAAAGTCTGTCCCTGGTTGATGACCACGTACTCCGGGGCGCATACCTCATCGTTGGACTGGCGCAAGGAAGCGGCGAAGTTTGCTAGCACCTCGAGGCTAGAGGTCCATGTCAGCACAGCACCGGTGGACTTAATGAGATAGGATTTGTAGTGCAAGTCTCCCTTGAGAATGCTGGCCTTGACGTCAAACCCCATGATCTTTTTGTCCTCGGGCAGAGCATTGCAGAAGCGGCGCAATACGCTCTGATCATACGTAGCTTGCAACACCATGCGGGCTTGTCTTCCATTGCCACCCTCGATAAATGAAATGTACTCTGAGTCCTGTCGTCTCGCGCGCCCCTTTGATTGTATGTACTGTATCACCGACTTGTAAAGATCAAATCGCATGATGAGGTTGCAGTCGGGTATATCAAGCCCTTCTTCAGCAACCTGAGTGGCGAACAGACAATTGACCTCTGCATGCCTGAACCTGTGAATTGTCAAGACTTGCTGCTTGAATGACATGTTCGCAAGTCCCGTATCTGATTGGCTGCCGACAAGTACTGCCGGGTTGAGATACGAGAGTTTGATGTGGTTCTGCTTGAAAAGATCCGCAAGCAGTACGGCTGTGAGCCTCATTTCCACGAAGACAATGCAACGGTATTTCGGTTCACTTGTGAAGCGGGGTCTGAGCTCTTCCCACAGTCGCAGGACCTTCATCGACACTTGGTCCAGAGTCGGCGTGGCGGGCTTGAATTCATGAGTCCGGACAACATCTCGAAGCTTCTGAACTGCCGCGGTCTCTCTGTCGGCGGAGCCAAGGCCAGAATAGCTCATTTCGGTTCTTTGTGTCAGCCTGACAATTGCCTCATCTGTCAGGAAAAGCTGCCAGAAACGATCCGCCGCCCAAGGGCCAAGGGAAGATGTTGCGGCCTTTGCAAAACATAGCTCTTTGCTGAAGTGCTGGTTACGACCCACGAGGGCGTTGATCTTCTGGTATAGCTCTGTCTCGTAAGGCATGGGGAGACTGCTGTAATGGATTTCCTTTTCCGTAATCTTTCGAACATGTGAATCCCTAGAGAGTGACTCCTCGGACACTGTTGCGATCTCGCTATGAAGAAGGCACTCAAGCTGAGCGATAGCAATCTTGATGTCCGTCTGAGCGTCGACGGGAGAGGCCGTCATACCGAGGATCCTCGGTCGCTTGTTTGCATCAGGCTCCTTTATGTAGAAATCCTTGATGATACGAGCGTAAGGGTGGTTCTTCTTGGTATGATGAGCTTCGTCGAAGATGAGGAGGTTGATCTGCTCCATGCGGATGTATGAGTGTGTCAAGCATTTCTGTAATATGGCCGCGGTGCAGACGATGACCATATTTTCTTCGAATTTCTGAGCCCAAAACTCACGGGACCACATCTCGTCGACCATGTCACCGCAGAAGCGAGCGACTGGGTGCTCCAAGTTACATTCGAGAACAGCATGCTGCTGGAATACAAGAGATACCTTGTCTACCTGTATGGACCGTTGGTTGAGCGTTATCAAAGTGGGACCGAGTTACTCACTAGAAAGAAGGCAATTCGTTTTTGTTGTCCAGTGGCGCGGTCTTCAATCTCCTTCTCGAGGATGTGACGAAGCAGCAAAGCAGCAATCAGGGTCTTTCCAGATCCCGTATCCAAGACCACGATGGTGTTTTTACTCTTGGCTCTCTCAAAGAGCTCGATTTGATACTCACGCGGAGTCTGGATGATTCTGAATCTTTCGTTCTCCTGCTTCAGTAGGTGCGCTACGGATCCGAGGTTCGGCTCCTTAGACGCATCAGGGCCTGCTTCCAGCACCTTGTCTTGGTTCGACTCGATCCAAGATTGGAACTTTGCATGATCACGACGCTTTTTCTCTGATATTTTGCGAGGCCGCTCTGGATTCAAACTCCAGCGGAGGTATTCGTCTTCGTCTTCGTCTTCAATAAAACCGCGATCCTCTCCGTCTTCGTCCTGGTTTTCGAAGTTGGCGTCGGAAACCGGGTTCTGGCGCGGGGAAGCCACCAAGAGGGACACCGGAGAAAATTCCTCCATGTTTGAGGTTATCACATCCTCTGTAGGAGGCTTTGAGGGCATCGAGTGTTCCAAAGGACGCGGGCTTGAGCTTACCTCCAAATCAACGAGATAAGTAGGCGTAGAGAATGAGTTGTCGACGCTCTGGACCTTGAAAGCCTCCATATCTGGAAGAATAGTTTGTGTACCGGCCACCGTTTAATGCATGGGACTGAGTACCTATGCTTAAATGGTATCTTGTGGAATTTGAGGCTCTATGTCCAAGAGAGGGGTATGAGTTGAGGCCCATACAAGGGAGATGAACGAGGAAGAACGTTAAGGAGTTTAGTATTCGGACTGAAGCCAATTGATCTGTGATGGTGAATTAACATGCGTTAGAAAAGAACTGTAGCGAGCTCTTGGAGTGTGGGAAGGAACGAAGGGGGGGGGGGGGGGGGGGGGGGGGGGGTAATAAACAGGTGCGGAGGCAAATGGAGGAGGTACAGGTGAAGGAATACCCTCTTTCTGGGAGAGAATATTCCTCTCTATATCCTAGATTGTGGCCATAGATGCACCGAAGAAAATGAGTGGCACTACAGGACTGAGTGTGGGAGGGCAAGAAAGGATTTTGTATCCGTTCAGAAGAGGCACCGAGTGGAAATGCAGGTCGCCAGTACGCAGAAGGTTCCAAACGTGCCTTCTATCGATATGGATATGAATACGACAATGGTAACGGGAAGCCGCGCAGCAGGAGCAAACAGGAACATCCAAACAGTGAAGGTGCCGGGGTCTCCTGCCCCAAAAACACTGTCCCAAAGTCTTGTCTCCTTTGGCATTTTAATCATCAGACCACAAATGTGACATTCCGGCAAGAATGAATCTCCCACGAGTCGAATTTAAAGATATATTCAGACACAGAATGATCGCGATACATAGGTAAGGAGCCGAAGAAGAGGGATCCCAGTGAATGCCGAGTTGGCTTTAGGTTCTTCGTGAAGAGGCTTCACTGACTATTTGCACCACATATGTCTTGTTCTCTCAACTACCTAAGACAGCTTCTTCAGTAAGGCAAGACGAGCGGCCTCGCCGACTGCTTTTTTTCTTTTTTGTTTTCTTTTTGGGCAGGGCATGCTGGGCACGGTAGTTTCAAGGATAGCTAGCTAGCTAGCTAGCTAGCTCAGAGCTTAGATATTGGATATACGTAGCAAGTACTCCGACTTTCCTCCTCAAAAAAATTCAGCACTTTAAAGTAAATACGCTAATATAGCCCAATAAGTAGTGGTAAACTCTGATGGGAAGAGAGTTGGGCTCAGTTGCAGTAACGAGGTAGAAAGCGGTAACGATTGCCAGGGTGAAGTCATCTCGTCAATTTCCGCGACGTACATTATAGAGCTCTGCCGGTCTGGACCCCTGTCGTCACCCCACCTCCATCCAACACAGCTCCCCGCCCTAACTAGATAAGATAAGGATCCTGCCGAGCGGCGCAAATCGCCACCAAGGAAATGTTTAGCGTCCCTCTCACTTCTGCAGGTAGTGGTAACAGACAAAGTACAACCCCCACAAGAATCAAGCGTCAACACATTTAGATACCCTGATCGCCACTACAGCTTTCACGAGATTTGCTAGTCACAACGTCGCCCCCTCCCGTCTGGCGTGAGGCTCATAACGTCGCCATTCCCCCTTCACCCCTCCACCTCTCACAGACGATACTCCCCACCTGGACACTTCCCCTTTGAACGACACGCACTCCGCCAAAAATCAAACTGCCGCAGCCATGGTCGACGAAGACAAACCCCAAACTCTCAAGTCCGTCTTCGCCTCGGCTGAAAAGAAGCGCCTCGTCCTCGAGAACTCGTACGAGGCCTCCTCGCCGACATTCCTTGACGACCTCCGCAACGCCATCTCCGAGTACGAGACCTGCCTCGACCTCGTCTCCCGCGCCGCCCTCTTCTCTCCCAACGAGTCCCTAGAGGACCTCTCCACCTCCTCCCTCGCCTACCTCCTCATCACCGCCCACCTCGCCGAGCTGCACCAGAAGCTTCCCTCGCGCCGCCCCATCGAGCGGCGCGTCGCCCTCGAACGCGCCCGCGAGTCCTACGAGACCTTCCTCGGGGCCCTCGACTCCTACGACCTGCTCTCCCCGCAGCAAAAGACCCTCTACAGCCACTACACCGACGAGCCCCTCACCTTCACGACCTTCGGCACCAACGACCCAGCCAAGCGCCGCGAGGCCAAGATCGCAAACTTCAAATCCGAACGCGCCCTCCGCGAGCGGCTTGACACGCTGCGCCGGAACCCGCGGTACCAGAACGAGGACGGTGATGACGAGGTTGTCCGCGACCTTCACCTCGCCCACATTGCGTATGCGGCGCACATGGCCTTCCAGGGCCTGGAAGGCATCAACCGCGAGCTCGAGGTCCTAGCCCAGGCCTCCGTGCCCCTGATGCCGTCCCCAACGTCCGTGGAGGAGGATGAGCGACGCCGCGCGGCGGAGCGTGGCTCGGACGGCTATAGCGATCGTCTCGAGGCCCCGCGCCGGCTGCAAAGCCTGTTCGGTCAGCGGGGAGGTCCGATATTGTCCAAGGACGGCAAGCCCCTGCAGCCCTTCACACTCGTTGGAAACCGGGCGCAGATGACCGCGGACGTGTTCCGGCCGGGCCACAACCTGCCGACGATGAGCATTGACGAGTACCTCGAGGTGGAGCGTGAGCGGGGAGGCATAATCGAGGGTGGCGGTGACGCAAGCTGGCACCGGCCGGAGCCGAACGAAGACGATTTTGACAAGGCGGATGAGGAGACGATGAAGGCAAGAGCGTGGGATGAGTTTGTTGAAGCAAACCCCAAGGGTTCGGGCAACACGCTGAACAGGGGTTGAGCCCAGTGGTTAGGCTCAGATGTGGGTTTATACGCAGCCAGATGGAAAAACATGATGGCGGGATTTCACGATTATGGACAAAGTGAAAAAGAAAAAGAAAAAAACAAGAAAAGAAAAGGAGGGAGAATACCACGGTGCGATATCATAGGCCTCGTGCATGATGTCCACGAGGGATGAGTTTTGCGGCACCCCTGTACTCGATACAGCACGATGAACACATGCTACATTTGGAAGATTGTCTGGTCTCGTTTATTGCCAACAACCTGATATTGGCTGTGTGCCTTCGAGGACGACCCCTTTTTTTCCTTGTCCTCTTATTATCCCCATGGCCTTGTTACCCATACCCGTCTGCAGTGTGAATTGTGAACCCCTCCCGGGAGGGACACCAGGAAGACAGTATTCGCCCGCCATGTCGTTGCTGCCCCTCTTCCTCGCTGCTCTTCCAACTGTCTAGACCATGACCACGTCGTCGTCGTCTTCGTCGTCGAAAAGAGAAGAGGATGTCGCATCCTCGGTCGAGGGTGCAGTTGAGGACGGACCGCCACCAGGCATGGGCATGCCCCGCGCCTCGGAGCTTGCCACGACATACTCTGGGGTCTCCTCCCGGGAGCGGCTCTCGTCTGGACCAACTTCCGTCATGGCCTCGTCCGTGTCGTCGTTCTCCTCGAAGTTGACGCTGGCACCGGAATCCGACTGGTCGGGCGCTTCGTCGAGGACCGCGGCGCTGAACGCGTCGGCAATGGACTGGCCATCGGCGGGCACGGCGTACCTCGCGTTGTGGTACTCGGACTCTCCATCCGTGAACGACTCCGTGCGGATTGACCGGTCATCGGCCACCACCCTCGCCGGGTTGAAGACGGTCGAGATGCCATCCTGTACGTCGATGCTTCTGGGACCGATGGTGCTCCCCCCTTCCAAACGAAGATGCCCCAGCACGCTGCTTATCGAGCCTGATGTGCTGGAAGCGTCCGAGGGGATCGTGACGCCGGTGTGATAGACCGGGCCCGGGCCATCCGGTCCATAATCGGCAGGCGGCAAGGAGTCCTCGAAAACCCCGCCGGTTCCGTCATCGTTTCCGCCGGCCCAGAGCGGTAGGAACTTCAGTTCGTTATGGTGTAGGTTGAGTAATAGGTGTGGCGTCACCTCCATCTTGATTTCAAAGTCGTCACGGGTACACTCCTGGTGGAAGGGCACGAGGAAATCATGGATGGACACTTCAAAAGCTACGGAATCGAATGCCGCCCGCGAGCTGTCGTAGATGGTGTTGGGACATGTTTTCGCGCTAATGGCATCAAAGACCGTCTGTGGCAAATTGAGCAGCCCTCTGCAGGCTGGGTCCTGACCCAACTCGGGGTGATTTCTCACAAGCCCTTCGAGCGCACTCCTCAAGACATTGACCATACTTTCAAAGCGGCGACACTGAGTGCCTAGGGAGAAAACGCAGGCAATGCTGGACCACTGGACGCCGACAGCCTCGTACACGAACGAGCACAGAGCTTTTTGCACATTGTTGAACCGGCGGTACACGGCCTCAAGGGGGTCGAAGTGCCGAACATCCACGTAAGTGGCGCGGTGGTCGTCGGCGTTTCTCAGTAAAAGAGGGTCGAGGGGCTTCTGCAGCAAGTCGTGGACCACAATGCTCTTCCATGTATTTCGCAAAAAGTTGGCCAAAACGAGCGCGTGGTATTTGGCCATCTGGAAAAACTTGTCGTCGGGGTAGTTGGAGAGCATGCTGATGAGGTTCTGCAACCGCAGCCACTCGTGATTTTGCATGTCATCAAATATCGTCTCGCTGACCAATCTGTTGACCAACCCCGACACGCGCTCTACCATGGCCCGGGCCGCATGCTGGATGAGGTTATTCAGGTCATCACCGGGGTCGTGACGCCTGCGACCAAAGACAGTGTACGCGGCCGCCTTGGGTGTGCCGTTTGGCCTAGCGGCCTCCTCGAGAGCCAGTTCGTTCACCAATATCCGAAAGGCCGAGCGCGTGATTTGATCCAATTTCAGAGCCACGCCGATTTGGAGGCTTTCCTCGGGCAAGACCTCGATGAAGACCGTATTGTTGGGGCTCATGATCCACTGTAGAACGGGGTCGCGCTGGAAGTGGCGTCAATACGGACGCTGCTGTCAGGAGCATAGGGGAGACAAGTGTACTCACAAGCACGCTCGTGCAATCGAGAATCTTCGCTACAGCCACCAGGGTCCATACCAGAGGCGCAGAATCGACAATGACCCGTTTGCCCGCGATGAGACACATGAGTCGGAGGATGTCTACGCGATGGCGGACCGGGCAGTAGTCCGGTATCTGGCGGTAGGTAGGGCCCAGCTCGGAGGTGAAGTCGCCCTCGGACTTCTTCTTCAATACCTTGGCGGCTAGACCGGTATTCGATGCCTGTTTGGGCCTCGTATAATGTGGCTTAATGTCGAGTTGGAAGTTCTGCGAATCGGCCTGTTCGGTGCCTTTGTCCGGGTCGGGATTCAGTCCGAAGATGTCGTAAGCGGCAAGATCCGTCTTTTGCTTTTGGTTACGGTCAGCGTCGGTTGCTGAATTCTTCCCATCGGCAATTTCGGGATCTTCAACCGGTTTGGGAGTCACTTCTCTCCAGCAAGAACAAACATCGTCGTGACCGAATACAACATAGGCGTCGATACCGTACTTGTCGTGAGCGGTCCACCATTTGATAATGCCCGGGGTCAACGATGCCTCTGTCATTTGGAAAACGAGTTCGTCACCCTCGGAGGGGGGAGTGAGATCCAGAACATACTTGATACCCTCGGGGAGTTTGTCGACAAGCTTCCGTCGACGCTGCACACGGAACTGGTACGTCGGGTTAAGCATCTCGGAGAATTTTGAGGAGCCGGTGTCCAGGAGCTTCTGAGAGTGCATACGAAAGTGAACCGAGTTCCAAGCATACAAGTAGCAGTCGACCCCAGCTGATGGTTCAGAGTGAGTAGGGAAGTCAACGAACACCAGTGTGTCTCCTTCGTAGAGTTCGCTCTGGATGTCGTGTAGGATAAACTGGGAGTAGTGGCGTTCCTCGTTGTACGTCATGTCGTGCCGGGGAGTCTGCAAATCTGGGTACACGGTGTCTTCCATTGCCAGCATAAGAACGGCGGGCTCAGTGATATCAGTGTTTTCGAGGCTGTTTCCTCCTGTCGGTGTGGAGTAGTGTTGCTCAGAAGCAGGCTCGTCCTCTGAAGTCTCTTCCAACCGCAGTAGAAGATTTGTCATGCTCTGTTCTTGAGTGTCCATGATTTGATGGCGGAGTGTGCGATGCTACGGAGCCCGCTGTGAGATGATGGTATTTCGAGAGCCTTCCAGCTCGGTTGCCTCTGAAGATGAAGGCCAGACACAGCTATGGTGGTCAACGTGTGGGCGAAGATGTAGGCGAGCAAAGTGAGAATTCGGGGCGGCTGGTAGGACTTGGACCGAGAGTGGCGTTGTCAAGACCAGAATTGTCGCATATGAGCTCTCACTGGCAGATATATCAGGTTGCGAGTCGGGTACCGAAAGACGAACGTGGTGGTGATCAGAGGGTGGCGAAGCCTTCCTAGGCAGCAAAGCCTCGAGGAGTCAGATGTCAATTAGGAACTGCCCAGACCCCACCAGGAACCTGTGTGTCGGCGTGTCAAGGCCGCTATTCAAAATGTCCAAACTGTGAGAAAGGTGGCAGTGAGAATGGCAGAATGAGGTGTAGCTCGCCCTGTTGCGCAATTGATCATACAGAAAAGCGATGCGAATACACCCTGAAGTATATGGAAATGCGACGGGATAAGAAGCCAAGAAACGAGGTGTGAAGCTTTTAATGGAGAGGGGAAGTTAGCTTATCTGAAGCCCGAGTACTGAGAGACGAAGGCAACTGATGTGGCATGTTAGCTGGGCGTAAAATGCAATGCTCAGTGGACGGTGGACAGGAATGCGGTTGGAAGACAGCCCGTGACCTGCAGCTTACCAGCTGCCTCAAGGGATGGCAGGTGTTCTGATTCATCTGTGGCCGTCGCAGCTAGGCCACCCGACGGAGCCTTTGCCGCCAGAGGCATTTGCAGTCACACCAATCTCACCTTGAGCCGAGTGGCCAAGCTGTCTTTGTTGGCAACATGACATCTGAAGCAGCCTGGCAGTGCACTGAGCGAATGCCGAAAGACGGCATGTCGTCTTATCCGTCTTGTATTTGTCACGGGTCCGAGAAGTGAGGCCAAAAAGCCAGCCAGTATGTGCGGCCGAGGATTGGGTGGTCTATGAAAGCCGATCTTGTCCAGAACAAGTCGGCTTTCGTGTATTTGGCCCCAGGCTCGTAGTTGGAATAGCAGATAAATCGATATGTTACGGTACAAATGTTCAGGCCCTCGCTGCTGCCTACGTGCCAGACCACCCGCTCGGAAAGCAAATAGTGGATCAGCGGGTACCCCACCCACATGCGAACCGGTCCGTCTTCAATCATTGGGTGGACTGGGACAAGAGTCAGCAAAGGGCGCCTACAAAACCCGCTTCGAGAACGAGACCAGTTCGGCTCTTCCATAGCTTGCGCAATGTCGGCAGCAGAAAGGAGCGCTGCTGTCATGAATTGCTGTCTCCATGCCTTAATCTAACTTGGCTATATACCTAGGTAGGTATATGGAGTTAGCAGGCGATGCTCCTCAGAGACGTGGCGGTTAGGGAAGCCGAAGCCCGGCGCCAGCACCGACTCCGTCCCGTTCGGGCTCTGTTGAAAGGCTCGGCCCCACTGCAGTCGACCGCATCGCGATAAGAGTTCGAGGCAAGGTAACCTAGGTAGGTAGTGTCGGCTAATGGACATGTTCATCGTGCCTGATCCATATTGCACTTCATTCAGGATATAGGCACAGTCATGGAACAGGAAATTGTTCGGCCCTGACACAACCGATCTGACCGTCGGGCTGTTTAGGAAGCCATTCCCCAGAAACGCATGTCCTGCGGGAAGGTCCCTGCTGTTCTGATGCATGCATGCATATATCCACCATCAAGGGAAAGCACAGGCTGGTTTCCTCTGCGGTTCAAACAAAACGAATCCTCTGCAAAAATAAAAAAACAAAATAAAAATCGAGAGAAAAAAAACCCCTCAGAGACCAACCGTTTTTGTTTTGAACATGGAAAATATGCCGGTAGCGCAAATACCCCCAGCAAATTTACCTTGCCGACCCAAGATACCATTGAAATTTAGGTTAGCAAACTAGGTACCTAGGTAGTAGGTACTCACTCTGTAAGCCCGGGCCCCCTACGTATCGTAGCTCCCCCGCATGTCGTCGAGTCCAAGCTCCCAACCTTGGTTCTTCTCGTCCCGATATCCAGAGCTCTCTCCCTTGCTTCCTGCCAGCTGAAACGTCGCCCAATTCCAACCAACATATCCGTATTGTTAGTTTAGTGGCACATGAGCTGGCTCTCCAGCTCGCCTGCATACCACTTGCATGCACTGGCCCCACCTCTAGCCAATATCAACATCCCCATCTTTACTGTCCTCGTCAGCCTGCGCCTTCTCCCCCTCGTCCACCCTTGAAGCATTGCATGCATGCACTCCTTCCCCAATCATCTTCCAGTCCGGTCAGCCCACCATCAGCCCATGAGCCCACGGCAAAACAATGTACAACCCCAACACGTGTTCATTCCCAGGCGAGCCGACACTACTTCAAACAATCCGCTAATTCCATCCACCGTAGCTCAGTACCGCGTCACCATGCCCGCATTCCAGACCCTCCTCCACTGCCATGCTTTTACTTGCATTCTACTTGTAGTTTACTTCTACCCCCGAAAAGAAAACACCCTTGGCCCGGCAATCGTCCGCTCTTATTCCTCATGTTTGAGTTTCACCAGGGTATCCCTTGCCTCACCTCACAGTTTATATGGGCTACTCATCGTGTTAGTCATGATAGTGCAACGGTAGGCCGAACCCAAGTTGAATAGAGCTAGGTAGGTCATGATGCAAATCGTCCGATCCAGATTGCTACCACCTAGGTACTAGTCCGAAAGCTAAGAGACCTCTTCCTCGTCATTCCCCAACAGAAACGAGATGTTTGCCCCTCCACACCCCCGAGAATCTGGGGAGAGACTAGGACTACCATGGAACGCGCCGAGGACGTCGAGCGTCTACCTACACCTACTTAACTGATCCCCCTCCCCTCATCCTCAAGCTTGTCCAGTTATACTATTTCCCACGGAATTTCACCTGTTTCCATCGTAGAACACCGCAGATAACCCTAAATCTATATACCTACTCAATAAACACTCAAAATACCGTCCTCCATCATGCCGTCAAGGACACCAAAAGCGCCCATCGTCGCCTTCCCCCGCATCCACGTCCCCCACGCGATGTACGTTACCCCCCCTTCTTCCTCCCTTGGCCGCGCAACATTACCAGAACCCCTTCGGCAATCCATCGCCCCGAACCGATCCTGGCGCTCTCCCTTTTACAGAGCGCTCCGGTCATTGACAAACAGCAGCCGCCACCGCCAGGGCCTCATCCTCACGACCGTGGCCGTCACGGCCGTCGCCGCCAGCTTCCGCTACACCGCCATCTCGAGGAGGACGAACGAGCAGAACCAGTGTTCCAGCAACCCATACTATGTGAGCGTCGACCGGAGCGGGGGCGGCATCTAAGTCTGACCACCAAACAAACTTGAACCGAAAGAGGAGAAAAGAAAAAAAAAAAGAGAAGGGGGGGGGGGGGCGACCCAGAGAGAAGCAGTACGGGCGGCCGGACGCCCTTCCGTCCACGACCCTCCGCCAGCAGTCCAGAACCGCACTTTCCTCGACCAGCAGACACAATATGCTATAAAAATGACCCAGCGGCTACGGGACGTAAGTGGTCCGGTGCAGGTAACACGAAGTGGTGATGTACACGGGCACGGGGGCAATACGCAGCGAACCCACGCGACGATTTGAGGGCGCCCACTCGCAGAGGACGGATGGGGCATGAAGAGACGTGCCTCTTTTTGAGTATTTTCGAGTAGCTAGAAAACCAGGAGACTCCCGGGAGGGGGGGCATGTAGGCGATGATAACCACAGGTCAATTCATTCGGATTTTATAAGCATCTAAACTAAACGCACTCCCAAAGTGTCATTACTCACTCCCAGTGTCATTACTCACTCCCGTCTACATGTCCAAATGCCAATCGCGGCCAGCTCACGATGTATGTGCGGCATGCTTCATAAAAAAACACAAGAACAACGCATAAAAGAACAATGCTCCAGGCGTAACCCCGCCTGGATCCAAACGCCCCACGATGCGATGCACTGAACCAAGCCATGACCGAGGTATAGCGCGCCGGAAAAAAATGCCCAGCAAATCAAAACGCGTCTCCCCTTTTACATCGAGCTCCGTTTAATCGGCGACATGCTCTCACTGTCGGAATCGTCGCCCGAAGAGAGCGCCGGCTCCTTGCCCTTGCCCCTTGCCCTTTCCGACTTGGGGTCCAACAGGCTCTTACGGCTCGCCGGGCGCTTGCCCGTCGTCCTTCTCCCCCCCAACTTGGGTCTCTCACTGCCGCCGTCTTTGTGCCGTGTGGCCTCTGCGCTCATCAGGCTTGTCATCTTCTGCAGCTCTTCGCCCGAGGAGTTGCGCCTTGTGGTGGGAGCAGTCGAGCTTGACGTGGTCTTGAGCTCGCGCAGCTCCTTGGCAACGTCTGCAAAACTCTCTTCCAGGGTCTTCATCCGTGCCAAGACAAGCTTGCTCATTCGATTGCTGTCCCCGGAATCCGTGCCTCGTCCTGCCCCACCCAGTCGTGCATCCTTCATCAAAGCCATAGCCATCTGTGTTTGGAAACTTGAAGATATCCCACCCCCATTCGGATCGTCGGGTACGATGTTATCCGATAAGACGCTCAGATCAACCGAAGACAGCCGTCTAAGAGGATTTGGGCGGGGTCGCTGGTCGACGCTTACCAGACCAGCGCGGTTTGGCGCCGTCTGCGCCGCGTCTCGAGGCGGCATGATGGGACGGGGCTTTGTGGTTGCCACGTAAGTCTGCCGGCGCGGCGAGCGGTGGCCACTAGCCACAGCTGGCTCAACTACCGCAGGACGCCCATTCTGCACACGTGCACGGGTCGGCGGCGGATCGGGCGAATGAGTCGACGAGCTGGGCGGCCGTCGCAGCTCCTGCGGTGCGTATAGGATGGTGTTGGTTGACATCGTCCGGCTGTGTGGTACACGACGCGCAGATCGAGGAGTTGCCGACACGGACGGTCTTCCACTTGAGCCCAATGACGATGATGTGGGTGGAACGAATCGCTTCGTCGAAGGCGTCGTGTTGAAGTAGTCGTCAATCGAGGTTTGGTGGATGACTGGGCCATGACGGCTGTCGTCTGCATTCGTCGCGATGTCTTCTTCCTCTTCCTCGTCGTTTGTGACGAGCTCGTCATCCCCGTCGGCGTCCGTTTGCTGGTTCTCCTCATCTTTGGCTGTGGTGGCCGCGGCTATACCCCTGAAGAAAGACCCGATAGCAGGCTGCGAGATAAGATCTGCTGGGTCGCTAGCCGCTGATCTGACATCTGACATCTGACGTGACCGGCGCGTCCTAAGCTCCCTGGACAGACTCAGCCTCCTAAGCCAATCCGGTCGAACGCCCTGGCTGCCATCCAAAGTTGGCCACTGGGAGAGTTGCGGAGAAGCGCTGGCTTCGTCGTTCCGATCCATCCAGTTCCGGACCGCGTGCTGGGTTTTCTTCCTCTCGTTGCGCCGCTGATTGCGCAGAGTAGCAAAACCGGGGCCGCGCCGGAAGACCTCTTCAAGAGCATGATCCTTCTGGTACCCAGCGACGGATTCTTCGCGGACCCGGATGTTGGGGCTGAACAAAGCAGGCCGGCTCGCCGGGTCTGCGAAGGAGATGGTCCTATCCCGTCCGTGGTGGTGATGATTTTCGACTAGATCCGTAGGCTCGTACATGGACGGAGCGAGCCAGTACTTCTCGTACAAAAAGATGCAGAACAGAAGAGGGAAATGTGTCACTTTGATGATGGTCCTGTTCAGCTTTACAAACTGTTTCAGGGGCATGCAATATCGCATGGGCATGAGGAGCCACGCGAAGATGTTTCCCGGCGCAACATATGAGAAAAGAGCATCGTTCTTGACCATGGAGATGGTATTGATGGCAAAGAGAAACCTGGTTATGTGAGCAGAGTGATTGCAGGGAAATTCGGGATCAAACTTACTGATGTTCCTCCCTAGCATTGGAGGCAATCTTCATGAAGGAATTTGTCAAGACCGTGATGAGGATGGTGCTGCGTTGGTCAGCAAAAGACGGCTGTTTCAGGAGACGAGACAGGCCTACACGATGACGAAGTGACAAAGGATCAAGAAAAAGGCCATCAGACCCCTCTCGAGCCAGTTGTACCCTGGCCAAACCTCCCAAGCAGCTGGAGTAAAGCCCATCAAGATCTGGAAGATCCTGAAGGCGATGTCGCCCGCATCATTGTTGGTATCAGCAAGAGTGAAGAAAACAAAGAAACCACTGCAGCAGATAAGAATCAGGATGCAAACGGCTGCGAGGTCAACCGCCATCAAGCGGAAGGCGATGAGCAGCTGAGAGAAGTACTGGTAATGATCCAGCACACTGAAGATACGGGGAAGCAGCAGGATGGCATTCGCCGCGAGAACATCGTAAGCAGAGTCATTCCAGTGCTTTGCGTCTACGAGGAATACCCCGTAGACGCGCATGAAGTAGTAGACGATCAACAACAGCAGGATCCCCAGATCGAAAGCGTTCCAAAAGCTCATGATGTAGAGCGAGAAACCCTGTTCGTTGAATCCGACCAGCTCATCCAGCATGAACCCGGCACTCCAAAACCAAAATATCAATTCCAGCGAGCTAATGCGGGCCGAGCGTTGAGAAAGAACCGCAAGGAACAGGCCGATGAGGACAAGTAGCGACATGGTCGAGAGAAAGAACCTATATCGTGGCACACGGAGACGCGACAGCTTGAACAGAGAGGCCTGGCGAGGATCATAAAGAATGACACTCCGCCGCCCAGGAGCCGACTGCTGCTGCCCCTCCTTCTGGTTGTGCCCGCCTAACAGTGGCGTTCTCGCATCGGGTCTGATGCCAGTAGGCGAAGGAGGTGGCTCGCGGTGCAGGCTGTCTGCGGACGAATAAAAGCTAATGGCGCCGTTCCAGATAGCCTCGAGCTGTTGCACGACCAAAGGATGGGCCAAGAAGTGCTTGGCGGAGGCGCGGATGGCGACTTCGAGTGTAGAGGTTCGTGACGCGGTGAGGCGCGCCTTGTTTCTCGGGTCTGCCTTGGGAGTGCTGGCAGGCTGGGCGCCGGGAAGCCCCTGGAGGGGGTAGAAGTCGTACGAGAGGGCGTCGATGAGCTCGCGGGTATTGTATTCCTTGAGGAGCTTGAGAGCGAGGAGTTCGCAGACCAAAGCCCTCGTATAACTGGTACCAGCATTGCCTGGGTACATATGGCCCTCTTTGTTGAACTGCAGACAGTTGGCCATCAGACAGTACAGGGTGGCGCGGTTGAACTGCTGAGTCCTGATCTGCTGCTGCATGGGCTTGACCAGGAACTGGGATACCTGGGGGGAGCGTATTTGGTCCCATGTTAACGTCGTTTCGGTTCGGGCCTGGACGATGACGCGAATCGCGTGGGTAATGCTGTATATGGGCAGGGAGTCTAGAAACCGGTGTCAGCTTTTGCCTACAGGAGAATGGGCGCAGCCATAGGAGGCTAGATGGGCTGAGCGTACCAAGGTATGTTGACGAGAAGAGAGGAAGAACGGGCATAGAGCGGCGGCTAAGGTCCTCGTCGTCTACATGTTCGTTGTCGTCCCCAGAGTGGCCTGAGCCATCGTCCTCCTCGTCCTCCTCCTCTTGGTCATCTTCCCCCTCGGTAAAGTCTCCTGTGGCGCGTCTCGGGGGTTCGCCAACGTAGTGGCGATAGGCCGGGCCGGGGGAAGGTGATTGCCTATCATGGAAACGGTCGACACGACGGCTGCGATTGCTCTGCTTGGGTCGCAGCAGGGAGGAAAACATTGTCCGGTCGGAATGAAAGATGCAGCCCGCCTCCTTGTACGATCGCGTCTTACAGCGCCATAGAGAAGCAAAAGGGAGCAAGTCGAAAGGGTGAGAAGTGGATAGGGGGCTGTTACCGCTGTTCACGCAGGAGCCGTTTCGGGTTGGTTATAGCGGTAGCGAGAGAGGGAGATGGAGAGAAAGAGAGGCCGGGGAAGCAACGACCGGCCAAAGAGAGGCGAAGAAGGCAAAGGGGAAGAAGAGACGAATAGATTAGGGCAGGGTGAGGTGGACGGCAACGGTAGTAAATAGGAGGGTTGCAGTCCAGGCCGGATAGGTAGGCTAAGTAAGGGTCGGCACAGCCAATGTAGGGTTCCCCGTGGTCGTGACGAAGAACTCGATGCAACGTTTTGTGGAGAAACCGGTAAAGGCCTTGCCAATTACGATGGAAAAGACAAGAGAGGGAGAGAGGGAGAGAGAGAGAGAGAGAGAGAGAGAAAGGACGGCACAGGACGGTTTGGACCGGAGTGAGTGAGGGGGGAGGAGAAAGCTACTGCATTAAAAATGTTTAGGAAGAGACCACGGCAAGCAACAGGCGCGTGGAGCGCAGATCGAGATTCAACGAGGACGATGCGAGTTTTAGCGTAGTTGGACAAGTAGAGTGCTAAAAGGCGAGAGATACTGTATGAGGCAGTCGACGCCGGCAGGGGTGGACAAGGAGGCAAGACGAGGCTAGGCCACCTAGGTAAGTAGACTGCACGGCAAGGCAAGGCAAGGACAAGCAAGACAGGACGGGGGTTGGACAAGACTGCGGATACCTGGGTATGGTCATGTACGTGTGCGGATGGATGTACGCATATAATATGTACGTGATGCACCCCAGGTGCAACTGCAAGAAATCAGAGCGGCGATGGCCCTGCATTGCATGACGACGAAAAGAGTCGGTGACGGTCGCGTTGGACGGGATGGCCTGCGATACAGGGTCTTGATGGGAAGGGGAGAGACCATACACAACCATTTCTCACCCTCCATAACGAGCTACGACTCAGAGATGGATGGATGGACAACTCTGCGTCCGCAACTTCACACAAGTTTAGGAACGGGGGGACGGACGGGGAACAGGGGGACGGTAGAGAGAGAGAGAGAGAGAGAGAGAGAGACGCAACGAGGCGCGCCATGGCAGCCAAGTGGAGTTGTCCATCTCTTTTTTTTTTTTTTTTTTTTTTTTTGCCTTTTCTTCCTTTGTCGCGAACATGGCAGGTTCTGGTGGTGTGCCCCAGTGCCCAGTCTACGGAGTAGTATGCGACTCTACGCATCCAAGATCCAAGGTTCGCCTGCGTCAAGATTCAGGAATGGGCTAGCGTAAGATCCTTTAGGGGTGGGAGTGGGCAGCTTGGAGACTTTTGGACCTACCTAGGAGGCCGGCCTCTAAAAAGTGGTTCGGTCCAGTGTCTTGCGCAATGCGCCGCCAACTAACGTGCTGTCAGTGGCCCGCCCGCTGCAGGCCAGCGAGCGCGCTCGGCCTGGAAACTCTTGTCAACCCCTCGCACCGTAACTGGGGCCAGTGCTCGTGCGAAATGACACAGTAAAAAAAGGCCCGGGGGAGCTCCACGCTTGCGTTGACATTGTTGGCTACCCTGGATGCCGATCCATCCTCTATCTACCTAGGCTGTGCGGCTAGACCATCGTCGCCGTTGTCAGGGCTAGCTACTGGCTAGGACAACGGAGCACGTAACCCCCCCAAAGAGGATTAGCATCAGTCCAGCCACGACGCATATGTCGACATGGTTTTGCTTGGAAAAGAACAAACAAGACGGGCCAAGCGTGTGGGGGAGGAGAGACAGAGAGGCACGATGATAAAACCCCAATTAAGGTCTGTTCTGCTCTGCAGATGAATGAATACACGCACGTATGAATACCTACACATGATGACAGGCAGAGACGAGACTCCACGACGTCAGACGAAAAAGAACGGGCGAGACATGCATCCGCGCGTGACCCCCCCTTCACGAAGCGCGAGGGAGGAAACGAGTCGAGGACGGGTATGGTCAGATCACATCAAAAGAAGCCCGCATGCCTGCAGCGAGGCCATCGCAGGCAAGCGAGCAACAGTAGCAACACCACCCAACGGCTGGCCCCGGCAGCCTTTCCAGCCAATGCCACCGTTCTTAAGTATGGTTTCTAACATAATATGGCCAGCTGAGCAGTCTCCACAGTCGCACGTCGTCACTTGACATGGCGGCGATGCTGGCGAGGGCCCTTCTCATAGGTCCGTTATCTTGCCCCGCGTTCCTCGTGTCTACTAAGGTCTCCCCTCCCTCCTCTTGCCATGAATCGTGGTGATGCCTCACTCCGCACCATATATCCAGGACACCTGGCCGAGGATGTCTAGATACCTGCATAGTAGGGGAAACTTACGCAGTAGGGTTCCAGCAGTTCACGGGAGAAACAAGGCGAGTCGGTCAGCAGAGAACCGCCCCAAGACCAAACCCCCAGAGTCGCAGCAGCATGCCATCAGTAGGTGCAGAAGCTTGAGTTGGAACAAGACCGAGACTGTGGTGCGTATCCAACTTCCGACCCCCACACCTCACACCGACCCATTGGCCTCCGAGCTGCCCTGGTTGGTCAGTGAGAGCCGTCACCGCCCATTGGCATCCCACACACACTGACGCATTGGCACCTCTGTTCTTGGCCGGGTACGACGCTGGATTTGGGGGAACACGGCCGGGATTCTGGCCGGGGGATGTGTGGGTGTGGGTGGGTGGCCTCTGCGCCATCATTGCCCGCGCCTCCAGCTCCTCTCCAAACATGGCAAAGAGGGTTCCGGATGTAAACTACTACCTATGTACCTACTGTTCGTCACTAGCATTCGCCAGCCTTCAATGGGGGAAGGGAGGCAAGACTGTGAAGGACATTGCACCACGTTGGCGAGATCCTCCTGTGCATGTCCAACAAAAATAATGCACGAAAGAACAGCAGACGCCCGTCATGCATGCGTTACATTGCTAGACACCATGGTCATCGGCGATTTACGCAGTACGCCGATTCGGATCTGGATCTCAAATAAGCAGGGTATGGTGCAATGGCAGAGCCTGCGCACCAGCCCAAGATGGACATCGTGAAGTCTGTGTTCCATGGCGGCGCACCCGGCCACGGGAAAACTTGATGCTGGGCAACCGGGAAATTTCGCAGATTCCCGCCATCTCACAACCCTCACGAGTCAAGTCCTGCATTCCCTGTCGAGCCCCAATGAAGAAACCCGGCCCCCCTCCTCCCCCCAAAAATAAATGAAGAAAAAAAAAAAGAAAAAAAAAACTGCTCTTCCAAACCCGGTGAGCTGTCAAAGGTTCGCAAGGAGGCAACCCTGTAGTGTAGAAGAGGAAGGAAAGAAAAAAAAAACCCAGTGAGGGCTGGCAAGCTTCGAGACGCCGACTGCGATGATCGAGTGTCAGCTTCTCACCTAAGCTCCATCCTGCTTCACGTCATGTGGAATGTCAGCTTTCGTCACTTGACATAGGTTTTGACGACAACTGGGCGAACACCCTGGTTTTCATTCTTCATCATCTCGCCGAGATATCTCATTCCAGAAAAGGTTTCAAGATGTTCTGCAGCGTAGATGTGTGATAGGGGGTTTTGCTGTTGAAGTAGTACCGACCGAGCACATCTGTAGGAAAAAGTAAGCTCGATGGGCCGTCGTTGTCCATGTCCCTCGTGAAACAGATTGATGAGTGCAAAAGAAACAGGAATGAGACAAAGGGGGGAAAGTATGTATGACTTATACCTAGAGAGAACTACAAATCTACAAATTTGGCATGCCGCCAGTCAGGACGCAGAACATCAAGGAAAACCGGGTTGGTTTCCAACAAGTGAGAAATGTCATAGGGCAGACACTATCCGTACCTAGTCGATGGTGCAGCGCAGCATTCCGTTATCGATATTGACTTGGCCGCCGTTGCCCCGGCTTCTCATGCCCCGAGCTGGTAGCATTGCCCCACCAAGATTTTCTGCCCCTCCCCCCGGCATCGGCGATGGACAGGTGAAAATGCCATTACCGTGATCGGTGAGCTCAGGTCAGCTTCTCACTCTCACTCAGATATCATCATCAAAACTTGGTTTCCCGGGCTTGCACGTCACTACTTGGAAGAAAGAACGGCTTCCCCTTATGCTATCAAGAGGAGAGGATTTGGATAGTGCCCGTCTTTGGCTTTGCGTGCCCTAATACCACCAGGAATGTGTCAGGTTCAGAACCTTGCTACTCCAAGGTCAGAAGCATTGGCAACCCACTTTCCATTCCAGTCCAGATCGTGCCCGTGACTCGGCTATGGAAGCGATCGATTCGCAGCCGGTCCACTCGTCGCCGCCCATCGTGGCAGGCCAGCCGCCAACAGAAGAAGGAAAAAATTAGTTTCTCTGCAACAGATGTACTAGGCCTAAACCTTCTGGAAAGAATTTTCTGCAGGGACGGCACGAACAAAATTCTGACGCGGGGCTCCTGCATTCCCCCGCCTGTCACTTTCTGCCCCGCTATTTGACCTCACCGCCTGCCGTATCCATGAGGCATAAGCCATATCCCACAGTTGCAGATCTGTGACAACGAAGCCGGTTCCCCACTATCAAGGGATCTTGCTCGTATAATTGGTCAATCGAAATGGAAGAACAGTGGACGGCATGGAGGGGGACCAGGTGAATTTTTTTTAATTTTTTTCCCCCTCAGAGTAAGGTAAAAACTCCAAGGCCCTGCTGGTTTGCTCTTCCTCTCCTCCTTCTCTCTCTTTCCTCTCTTCTTCCTCCGACCATGGTTGTCTAGAATCACACATAACTTCCCGAAGATCTATCGTGGCAGATGATCGCTGGGAAGCTCCCGAACCACTCTACGAGACTCTTTTGACGAGCTCTCTGCTGCCACTTTTCTCTAGCGCCTCTCTTTCCCCCGTTGCTGCTACGTAACTCTCGTCGCCCTCTCCCACCCCCATCGAGAGTTTCTTCCTCGGTCGTTTGCCCCGCATCATTCTCACAAACGACAATGGCGCCCACCGTCTACCCCCCGGCTGCGGCCCGCATCGCCGGCTCCGATGACGAGGGCCTCATGGCCCTCGAGTTGCCGGATGGCACCGTTTACCAGGGTTACAGCTTCGGTGCTCAGAAGAGCATCGCCGGAGAACTTGTATTCCAGACCGGAATGGTGGGGTATCCCGAGTCGGTGACAGACCCCTCGTACCGCGGCCAAATCCTCGTCATTACCTTCCCTCTGGTCGGCAACTACGGTGTGCCCTCGCGGGAGACCGTCGACGAGCTCTTGGGTGACCTTCCGGCCCACTTCGAGTCTTCCCAGATCCACATCGCTGGTCTCGTCGCTCACTCGTACTCGGGCGAGGACTACTCCCACTTCTTGGCCGAGTCCTCTCTCGGCACCTGGCTCAAGGAGCAGGGCGTCCCTGCCATCTACGGCGTCGACACCAGAGCGCTTACCAAGCGTCTGAGATCCCAGGGTAGCACACTCGGCCGTCTGTTGCTGCAGAAGAAGAACCTCACCAACGGCACCGCCAACGGCCACGTCAGCGGTGTTGCTTCGTTCTCCCTTGACGACTTCCAGACAGTAGACTGGGTGAACCCCAATGAAAAGAACCTTGTGGCTGAGGGTGAGTCTTGCCGACGTTCCGTGGTCCGGTTTTCGCTCATCCTTTATTCTAGTGTCCATCAAGGCCCCCAAGCTGTACAAGCCTCCCTCGAGCGTCGCCGTAAAGAAGCACCCGTCCGGCAGGCCCATTCGTGTGCTGTGTCTGGATGTTGGTATGAAGTACAACCAGTTGAGATGCTTCCTGAAGCGTGGCGTTGAGGTCTTGGTCTGCCCCTGGGACCACGACCTTGTGAAGCAGGCCGGCGACGAGTATGACGGTCTCTTCCTCTCCAACGGCCCCGGTGACCCGGCCATGCTCGAGACCACCGTCAAGAACATCCAGGCTACAATGGACAAAACCAAGACCCCGGTCTTCGGTATCTGCTTGGGCCACCAGCTGCTCGCCCGCGCCTCGGGAGCCAAGACTGAGAAGATGAAGTTCGGCAACAGAGGTCACAACATTCCCTGCACAAGCATGATCTCCGGAAAGTGCCACATCACCTCCCAAAACCACGGCTTCGCCGTCGACTCCAAGTCCCTGACTGCCGACTGGAGGGAGCTTTTTGTGAACGCCAACGACGGCAGCAACGAGGGTATCGCCCACCTGTCCAAGCCCTATTTCAGTGTGCAGTTCCACCCAGAGAGCACACCTGGACCCCGCGACACCGAGTACCTCTTTGATGTCTTCATCAGCACCATCGAGAACTGCGCCGCCGACCCCAATATGCTCAACGCTCCCGTCAGCTTCCCCGGCGGCACCATCGAGGAGAACGAGCGTCTTCACCCCCGGGTCCACCCCCGCAAGGTGCTCATTCTGGGCAGTGGTGGTCTCAGCATTGGACAGGCTGGAGAGTTCGACTACTCCGGATCCCAGGCTATCAAGGCTCTGAAAGAAGAGGGCATCTACACCGTCCTTATCAACCCCAACATTGCAACCATCCAGACCTCAAAGGGTCTTGCCGACAAGGTTTACTTCCTCCCGGTCAACGCTGAGTTCGTCCGCAAGGTCATCCAGTACGAGAGACCCGACGCCATCTACGTCACGTTCGGTGGACAGACCGCTCTGCAGGTCGGTATCCAGCTGAAGGACGAGTTTGAGGAGCTCGGCGTCAAGGTCCTGGGTACCCCCATCGACACCATCATCACCACCGAAGACCGCGAGCTCTTCGCCCGCAGCATGGACTCCATCGGCGAAAAGTGTGCCAAGTCTGCCTCTGCCTGCAACGTTGACGAGGCCATGTCCTGCGTCAAGGACATTGGCTTTCCCGTCATTGTCAGAGCTGCCTACGCCCTGGGTGGTCTCGGCAGTGGTTTCGCCAACAACGAGGCCGAGCTGCTCGACCTCTGCAACAAGGCCTTTGCTGCCAGTCCTCAGGTGCTCATCGAGCGCAGTATGAAGGGCTGGAAGGAGATCGAGTACGAAGTCGTTCGTGATGCCCAAGATAACTGCATCACGGTGTGCAACATGGAGAACTTCGACCCTCTCGGTATCCATACTGGTGATTCCATCGTCGTTGCTCCCTCTCAGACTTTGTCAGACGAAGACTACAACATGCTTCGTACTACGGCCGTTAACGTCATCCGCCACTTGGGAGTTGTCGGAGAGTGTAACATTCAGTATGCCCTCAACCCCTTCTCCAGGGAGTACTGCATCATCGAGGTCAACGCTAGATTGTCGAGATCCTCTGCCCTTGCTTCCAAGGCGACTGGATATCCCTTGGCGTTCATCGCTGCCAAGCTCGGTCTCGGCATCCCCCTCAAGGACATTGCCAACAGCGTTACCAAGTCGACTTGCGCCTGCTTCGAGCCCTCGCTCGATTACGTCGTCGTCAAGATGCCCCGTTGGGACTTGAAGAAGTTCACACGTGTTTCCACCCAGCTGGGCTCTTCCATGAAGAGTGTCGGTGAGGTCATGAGCATCGGCAGAAGCTTCGAAGAAGCTATCCAGAAGGCGATCCGTGCTATTGACTTCCACAACCTTGGATTTAACGAGACCAAGGCTTTGATGTCCGTCGACGACGAACTCCAAACGCCCTCCGACCAGCGTCTGTTCGCCATCGCCAACGCCATGCACGCTGGCTACACCGTCGATAAGATTTGGGAGCTCACCAAGATTGACAAGTGGTTCCTCAACAAGCTCAAGGGCCTGAGCGACTTCGCCAAGACCATGTCTAACTACACCACCAGCGACAT